CGACGCCGACGATGCGCGTCTATAAACGTGGCGACCGGTCAGCCGCCCCGGGTGTTTCTCACCCGCATACCTCGAGTACCATCCTCCTTCCTTCTCCCCTCGCGTTACCTTCGAGCGACTAGACGAGAAACGGGACGAAGAAAAAGTTGCGGCGACGTTCTCGTGCTCGTTATAACAACGAACGCGAACGATCTTCGGAACGTTATAATGGGCTTAATCGAAAATTTCATCGTTATTCGAGATAGAGAGGATCGTTGTCGGTTACCGAATATTTTACTCGTCGAGATGCAATGCGCACCGCGGTATTAGTAGTCTTAGGTTCGTTTTCGGAGGGTAGACGGTACGCGGAATAAGAGCGAAAGAGAAACGGCGGAAAAGAGGGATGGACCGATGTAGCGGAGAAAGAGGCGTCGAACGTTGGTTCGCATCGCCTCGAGCTCGTTCCCATGAGTCGGGGGTGGCAGGGGATAGTCGTTCCTCGGCTACTCGAGGGCATCGGCGTTCCTCGAGATCGGTGCGTGCAACCGTTCGCTTTCCAACGAGTTATTACGAGAAACCATAATGATCGACCAACACCGTTTCTTCCTACGCTCCTTCGTTCTCTTGCGAAACGTGATCGGCTCAATTATCTCGAAAAATCGTGCAGCGTCGTAACGCGTCGCGTCGTTCGAGATCATTCGGGTTTCCTAAGGTGAAAAGATAAAATACGATCGTCGAAACGCTATCGTTCGCTATCGTTCGCTATCGTTAGCCCGAAAGATAGAGAGCCGAGAGCCGGACGAGACGCGTCTAACGTTCCGCGAATACCACGATCAGGAAATACGATATAGAAAATACGTACGAGTTCCCGACTTCCGACAACGGACAGACGAGAGAGATCGTAAAGGGTGCGAACTGGGAACTAGGATTCGAGAACTGACAACTGGAACGCGTGCTTCTCGTCGTTCGATGCGTCTCACCGCGGCGCCTTCGTTAAAAGGAACATTTTCGAGCAACATTTTCAACGCGTTCGAACGTTTTCTATATCGGCCATCGGACCGTGGATTATCGCGGTAACGAGTTTAGCTCGTAAAGCTGATTAAACCTTAGTTAATCAGGAACGAGCAACGAAGCATCGGATCGAGGAGGCTGGCTCGAAACTGGTAACCGCCTCGTTTGCCTGTTACCTTGGTAAGCGGCTGCTTGACCGGGCGGTCCCGCGCGGCAAACTCTTCGCGGCGCTACCTTCGCCGCGCTCCTAGTTTCCTACTCCGTCCGACATTGCGATTGAATTCGGTACCGCGGTCCGTGGATTCTTCGCATTCTACGTCCTTCTTTTATTACCCTTTTCCTTCCCCTTCTCCTTCCTCCTCGCGCTCATCGCCGCGTTCACCTTCTCGCAGCGCGCGTTTCTGTCCCTTTCCAAAATCTGTTCGCGATCAGCGGCATATTATCTCGTTCGCCCGAAAACAGCACGGTGCGTACGAGATAATCGTTGTTCTTTTAACGGCGACTTCCGAGCAACCGATCTCGTTTCGCTTTCAAAATTTCCCTACCGATACTTGCGACGATGATCGTTTCGTAGAAATTTTTCACGCTTTCCCTCGGTGAAAAAAATTCGAATCGCGCTGCTTCCCGCGAAAATCGCAACCGACTCGGGGTTACGGTGCCACGCGTGAAACGTCGAAGGAATTAGTTGACGAACGATCGCCGGACGGCGTAAGACGGAAGACGGAAGGGAAGACGGTAAGTAAACAACGAGGTCTAAGAGAAGATGAATCAGCTCCTCTTAATGCTGCGTTCCTGGCATGACGGCGAAGCGCCGCAGCGCCACGCGTCACGGCGAGCATCACCGCAACGCGCGGCGCCTCTACGCCGGTCATCGCGACGCGGATGCGACGCGGATGCGCCGCGTCCCAACTGCCATCCTGCGTCGTCTTTCCTTTCCGTTCGTTCGTCTTTTTTCTTTTCCCGATACCATTTGTTTACGTTTCGTCGACGAACGACGCCTCGTTACCGCCATCGGATTTCGACGAACCGAACGTAACAGAAAACTTGTCTATGCCGATAAATGGTGTTATCGATAATCGATAAATCGTGTCGTTTGTCCGAGAAAAAAGTTTACTCTCTGTAAAAAAGCTTATTCTCTGTATTACCGACGATACACGGTATATTATGGGAGCTATCTCGACGCATAATCCGCATCGTCGGACCCACGAAATATAATGAAAACGGCATAAGTGGGAGAGATTTTCGTGAAAATTCAACCGACATTTCGAATTCAAGACTAATTCGTTTCGGAATGTTTTAACTTTACCAAACCATTATCAATTTTTACCCATTCTTATCCTTATATGGTAATCCTAATTAGCCTAAAGGGGTCTGTCTCGAGTGTCGCCATCTAGCGGTAGAATATGAGAACTAACGAAACTACAGTTTCAAAACCGTGTAGTTCACCCTGTTCGCCGGAGAGATGGCGCCACTCGTTCCATTTTCGTAAAAATTCAATTAGTATCGATTTTATTAATTAATATTTATTAATATTGGTTTTATGCTGTTTGTAATATATTCGTTGGATCCGAGTGGGTTCGACGATGCGACTTACGTGTTCGGAACAGTTCTCGCGCTATACTGTATCCCGTCGATGATATAGAATATAGAATATAGAATATAGAGAATGATATAAGAACGAGAACAAATTTTCTTGCGAGTCACCATAAACCATTCTCACAGATGTGTTTTGTTTTGCAAAAAAGAGCTTATATGGAAAATTTGGTCGAGCGCGTGTAGTAGCGATTTCGGTACGAAGGAAAAAGGCTGTAGCCGTTTAGCGACAAAAAATTCGAGTAATTCGAATTCGCAAAATTCTGTACATCGAGGAGGCGCTTTGCACGACGACGCTAAGAGGTATTAAACGCGTTTAAAGTCACAGAGATGAAAGATAAAACGTACGATAGCCGATAGAAGGTGCTGTTTCGGGATCGTGCGTCGATACGAAATTAAAAAACGTTCAGTTCGCGTTATTACCGCGCAAAGATTTAAAGAGAACTTTCTGCTACCGAGAAACTGACTTACATCCCACGGAAGAGCATAGGTCGTAAACCGTGTACGAATGATCGATTAATTTTCGAGAAAAGTTTCGAGGTCGGAACGCGACGAAATCGTTTGATTAGGGGATACCCTTATTTTTCAGGGATATGGATTCGTTGTTCGATTTCTCCGCGTCGTTCGTCTTCTTTCGATCCTCGTTCGCTTCGGGATTGTTCCACTTTTGTAGCTCGCCGCTACCGAACACGGCAAACGCGACAGCTCCGACGATGTAAGTCGAAGCTAGAACCCAAAAAACGATGGTCCATCTAGCGTAGGTCTGATTTTTGTAAGTTATCGTGCCGACCATGTAACTGCTAAGGAATCCACCCAACGAGCTAAAAGTGTTCGCTATGCCGAAAATGGTCCCCGAAAAATTAGGCGCGATGTCCAAGCTGTTTCCTAGATATCCCGCCGTTACCGCGCCGTTGATCGTCAAAGCTACGGTGAAGATCGATACCGACGCGACGCGATCGCATCCGTGATACGCTTGCACGATCATCAGCAGTCCCGGACTCAGTACCGCTACGAAAAAGAACAACAACAAGATGTAGGCGAGAAAATAAAAGCGGCGCGGCTACGTTACTTCTCATTTACTCACCGAACGTGGTGAACAATTTTCGAATAGTCGTTATCGACAACTTTTTCGTTTTCACCAAATGATCGGCCAGAGCAGACATCGTCACTGCGAACGCGTATTTTCCGAGATACGGCAAAGAAGATAACATCCCGTTCTACGAAATGAAAAAAGATAGAGCGACAAATATGTAAATAAAGCGACAGTTCCGCGGAAAGCGAGCACGATAGCGAACCTCTTTGATATTAAAGTTTAAGATGTATTTCATGTAGGTTGGTAGTTGATTGACGACGGTAAAGTAGCCGAACACGCTGCATACGTGAGTGACGACGATGGCCCAAACTGGAATCGAGAAGAAGATGGACTTCCACGGTACGGGCAATCGCTGAAAAGGAAATGTTTGGTAAAGAGTCGAAATTTTTATCGAAAATTTGATCGATTACCTTGGTGGTGGCGGTGGAGCCGATCGCGTGTTCGATGTATCGACGTTCCTCGACGGAGATCCTCGGATGTTGGGCGGGAGAATCGAATATCAAGAGAAACCAGGCTACGCTCCACGCGAGTCCTATCGCGCCGGTCACGTAAAAAACGGATTCCCAGCCGACCGACGCGATCAAGAATCCACAAATCGGCATCGTCACCGCTGCACCGAGGGACGAAGCTGAAACGAAGTAACGAAATCTCGTAGTTTCGTCGACTCGAACGTAGTTCAAACGGCCAGAATATAATCTGCACCCTTATTTATCGAATAATCGAAGGAAAATCAAGATTCGATTTACCCATCATGTTGGAGACAAATTTGCTTCGTTCTGTCGGCGGAATCCATCGAGCCGTCATCGGTTGAATAGCCGGCCAGGTAACTCCCTGCGTTCAAGCAATCGTTTCGGACGGTTTCTGACGCGTCGTTGCCGGCCAGTTACGAGAACGGCCGAGCCGTGTTTCGTAACGCCGTAAAAAATTGAAAAGGTAAACGCACCAGCATGAATCCAAGAACGGTTCTTAGTCCCGCGACCATCACGTATCCGTAAGTGGCGGACAACGGCGTCAGCAGGGTTATGGCGCTCGACAGTAGCATGCTGTATCCGAACACCCTCTTCGGGCCTATGATTTCCGCGAGTCTTCCGCCCGGTAATTCGGTACAGATGTAACCCCAAAAGAAGCTTCCCAGCACGAGATTCACCTGATACTCGTTCCACGGGTACCGCGTTTCGTTCGCTTTCCCCTCCCACGATATCTACAGAAATTTCCAGAAAGGATCGCATCTAATATCGAGCGTAGTTCAGTTTGGGATTCGGATAGAAAGAAATCGAAGGAATAGTCGAAGGAAGCGGAAGAAAAAAGTAATGCGACGCACGTGCGTAATTGATCCGTCGTTCAGAAAAGAAGAACCGGAGCCGTTGTTTTTGGAAGCCGCGTCGGTGGTCGTTCTCGTGCTCCGGTCGTCGATCGAAGCGGCGTTTACGTATTCGTCGGAAACGTCGTATTCGCTGGGATGCGAGCTACGGTTGCTCGGAATCACCATCGACACGATGGCGATCGTCATGTTGACGCGCAACATGTAATTCAACATGAATCCCAGTATCACCATTACGTTTAATACTTGTCTGCACGTGAGCAGGTCTGCAAGTAGACGAACGAAGGATCAGGCACGGTTCCTATTTCTTTCGTTTATTTCTTTCGTTTATTTCGACTAAATTATCGGAAATTATCGGAAATTATCGGAAGTTATCGGAAATTATCGATTCGAATCGGAATAAGAGATAGAGCGACCCACTTGAACGCTGATCGCGCGACGGCTGATTCCACGCGTATCTCGAATGTACGAACGAATTAACGAATCAAAGGGTCATCTCCGACCCCTGCGAGCAACAATTTCGTCTCGTTGACGATTTTATTCGACTCGACGAGGGTTCGCGCCGCTTCTTCGAAACGAGGCTGAAAAGTTGCCGTTCGATTTCCCTCGTTTCGTCGAGGCGATGCGGTTGCCAAAGAAGAGGCGACGCGTCCGAAGCTTCGCGAGGCTGACCTTCACCCAGAACTTAGCGGCGGTCGTTTCCGGTAGCTATTTACGTTTTTCTTGGCTGACGCGTTCGTTTCGAGAACACAGCGGCGTTCCGTTACGGAAGCGACGTTTTCGATCGCGAATGGAACGCGGTGACCGATCGATTTTCCAACGGAACGCGTAATCGGGGGGCAAGGTTAATTCGTTGGCCGAGCAAAGTTTCGCGTTCGCTCGGAAGTCGTGGTCGCTTAACTTACCTCTTATGTTCCGGTTGGACGGCATCGTTTGCGCGGTGCGCGCGAAAGATCGGTCGGAGGAAAGAGAAAGTTAGTCCGACGCTCGATTTCACGGGCGACGTTGAACGGTGTTTTCGCGATCCGAGGGACAATCGGGAAGATATTTCGAACGATTTCGGTGAAAGAGAGAGAGAGAAGGAGGCCGTGCGGCTCGGCGGACGAGTCGCGTCACTGTCAGATCGCTTCTATTCGACTATTCGGACCTATTCGTACTTGTACGCGCGTTGCTCCGCGTTTGCAATCAAGTTTCTATTCCTATTCGTCCCCGCGAGTATATTCCCCCGTTTCGAGAGCGGACCGTTAAGGTTGGTTACCGACGCGCCGCGGTGGAAGAACGTTCGCTACCGCGACGATTCGAATAGCCGGGAAAGAAACGAGCGTCGGCCAGATATGTACCGTGGAACAACGGCACTGGCAACGCTTTCGGAACCGAACGACGAACAAATTGAACCGTTAGGGAACGAACAACGTCCGAAGAACAGATGCAGGCGGGGAAGTGATCGGTAGAAAGTTTACTGGTTTCTATGTACATTCTGTGTTTTGTTCGCACGTTTCTTTCGTTTCTTTTTTACTCGATGTCGGGACAATCAATCCAAAATGTTGAGCTTGCTGTTAGTCTTCCGGAGTTGAGCTCGCCAGGGTATGATCGGGCCGTCGTCGTCCGGACCGTTGGCGTGATTCGATTCGTTTCTCTTCTCCTCGCCTTCCGATTTGTCCTCCGTCTTTTCTGTCCGGTGCGCCGTCCGCGGACAAGCCGACGAAGCGTCCGTCTTCGCTTGAGTCGCCTCGGTTGGCGTCGCTGGCACCGATTGCGCTATTTACGTTTTTCTTGGCTGACGCGTTCGTTTCGAGAACACAGCGGCGTTCCGTTACGGAAGCGACGTTTTCGATCGCGAATGGAACGCGGTGACCGATCGATTTTCCAACGGAACGCGTAATCGGGGGGCAAGGTTAATTCGTTGGCCGAGCAAAGTTTCGCGTTCGCTCGGAAGTCGTGGTCGCTTAACTTACCTCTTATGTTCCGGTTGGACGGCATCGTTTGCGCGGTGCGCGCGAAAGATCGGTCGGAGGAAAGAGAAAGTTAGTCCGACGCTCGATTTCACGGGCGACGTTGAACGGTGTTTTCGCGATCCGAGGGACAATCGGGAAGATATTTCGAACGATTTCGGTGAAAGAGAGAGAGAGAAGGAGGCCGTGCGGCTCGGCGGACGAGTCGCGTCACTGTCAGATCGCTTCTATTCGACTATTCGGACCTATTCGTACTTGTACGCGCGTTGCTCCGCGTTTGCAATCAAGTTTCTATTCCTATTCGTCCCCGCGAGTATATTCCCCCGTTTCGAGAGCGGACCGTTAAGGTTGGTTACCGACGCGCCGCGGTGGAAGAACGTTCGCTACCGCGACGATTCGAATAGCCGGGAAAGAAACGAGCGTCGGCCAGATATGTACCGTGGAACAACGGCACTGGCAACGCTTTCGGAACCGAACGACGAACAAATTGAACCGTTAGGGAACGAACAACGTCCGAAGAACAGATGCAGGCGGGGAAGTGATCGGTAGAAAGTTTACTGGTTTCTATGTACATTCTGTGTTTTGTTCGCACGTTTCTTTCGTTTCTTTTTTACTCGATGTCGGGACAATCAATCCAAAATGTTGAGCTTGCTGTTAGTCTTCCGGAGTTGAGCTCGCCAGGGTATGATCGGGCCGTCGTCGTCCGGACCGTTGGCGTGATTCGATTCGTTTCTCTTCTCCTCGCCTTCCGATTTGTCCTCCGTCTTTTCTGTCCGGTGCGCCGTCCGCGGACAAGCCGACGAAGCGTCCGTCTTCGCTTGAGTCGCCTCGGTTGGCGTCGCTGGCACCGATTGCGACGATTGCACCGGTTGCGCCGATTGCGCTTGGTTCAGTCTGCGCGAGAAGGTACAGAGGACGTTCGATTATTTTGCGCGTTGAATCGCGATCGCGGACAACAAACCTTTTTTCCTCGTTGTCCTTTTTCGCGAGGAGTTGCCTCTTCCAAGCGGGAATCGCCTTTTGTCGTCTCTCCTCGTTCTCTCTGGCAATCTGTTCCTCCAACTCTTTCTTCGCTCGTTCGGCAGCCTTTCGAGCCAACATTTGCCGTTTCCATATCGGTATCAAGTTGCCGGAACTGTCCTTCTCCGGGATCTAAAAGGGAGAAATCGATCTAGAGAGAAACCTGCGCAAAACCAGCCTAAACAGAGTGCTTACCTGGTCGACGAAGTTCGAAACGTTGAACGCTTTGTTGATCTCCGATATGAGATTTTGTTCTTGCGTCTTCTCCACTCGAGCCATCTCGACTTTCAGCTTCTTGATGCCCGGAATGTCCTTGGTTCGCTTAAGTTCCGCGATCAAGTCGGTCTTTTGAACGAAGAACGACTCTGAAACTGAGAACGGGGGAAATATACCGTTCGATCGGGGTTAGGGTTTCGTTCGGTGTACGTACCGTTGGTCATGGAGACGCTTCGAGGCGGCGGCGCGGAAAACGTTTTCGTCGCGTTCATTTTCGCGCTGGTTCTTCGCAGCTGGATGCTCGTTAAGTCTTGGATGCTGATGGTCGCGAGAGGCTGCGGATTCTTCGGGGATTCCGATTCGGTGTTGCCGTTGTCGACGGAAGCGGCCAAGTTCTCGCCGTTGCGACGCGATTTTTGAAGCGGCGACAGCGGCGGCGGCGGAGGGCC